GTTGTACAAAAAATCGCGTTTTTAGCTTGTGGTCCCTCTAGAGGTTACAATTATTATTCGATTTTAAAAACGTTTGAATATATCACCGTTACATCGTAATTTTTGTTGACTTCGAATTTCGTGAAGATCAGGACAAAACTGCTGGACAAATGGCCGCCCCTTGTACACAAATAGTTAAACATCTCGTAAATCAAGGTTGTGGATCACTTCACGTCGGATGTTAGTGATGTTGTCAAGAATGTTAAAAAGAAACATTTCATTACCCACCGATTTTGATAAAACTTTCAAAATAAGTAACTAATGTCCAACTTAATTGTTCGCGATCAACATTAGACCTGATTTCAAGTTTCTGCAGTTTTTAAAAAAATTAAATTGAATAACGTGACTACAATAAAAACAAAATCATCTAAAATCTGACCAGGTTGAAAGGGAAATGTTTGAACGAGACATCACTTCACATCAGGTGTTACTCTGTCAAAAAGATGAGAGTATTATTGACTAAAGTATAACAGTACTAAACATTTCAACCGGGTAAAATTTCCCATTTTACATATTCACAAGGACAAGGACAGCTTTCTAGTCGTTGGAATGGGACAAAATACCGAGGTCTCGTGTATACTTTGGCATGCATGTAAAAGATCCCTTGGCAATTGGAATTTGATATAAGTGTAGGCCATAGTGCCGCTGCCCGGGCAAAATTTCCCTCATAGCACACTGTATGGCATATGCCTGTCTTCATTAGCCCAGTACGACGTTAAACCCCATTTCATTTCATTTTTATACGCCCACATGGTAATGTGGACGTATATTGCAGTTTGTGAACAACAAAAGTTATGATCCGATTGTTGTAAAATTGATATATGTTGTTGACATTAGGGAGATAAAGAAGCCTATTATGGCCCTTGTTTCACTTTGTTGGACCTTGTGAATGCTCTAACGCCAAAAGTTATCATCCTATCTTTGTGAAATATATTTGCATTATTTAAATTAGTGAAACGAAGAATCCTATTGAATTTCAGCAATTTCCGTTTATTACGTCTAGAGTTATGGCCCTTGTTTCACTTTTTTTTTAACCTTGTGAACGCTCTAATGCCAAAAGTTATCATCTGTATCTTTGTGAAATTTATATGCATTATTTGAATTAGTGAAACGAAGAAGTCTATTGAATTTCAGCAATTTCACATAATTACATCTAAAGTTATCTGCCGATCTGTATGAAATTTATATGTGTCATTTAAATTAGTAAAAAGAAGAATCCTATTGAATTCCAGCAATTTCCGTTTATTATGTCTAGAGTTATGGCCCTTGTTTCACTTTGTTGCACTTTGTGAACGCTTTAACATCAAAAGTTATCTGCCGATCTGTATAAAATTTATATGTGTGATTTAAATTAGTAAAAAGAAGAATCCTATTGAATTTCAGCAATTTCCATTTATTATGTCTAGAGTTATGGCCCTTGTTTCACTTTGTTGAACCTTGTGAACGTTCTATCGCCAAAAGTTATAACTGATCTGTATGAAATTTATATGCATTTAGATTAGTGAAACCACAAAGCCTATTGAATTTCAGCAATTTACAATAATTACGACCCTTGTTTCACTTTGTTCAACCTTGTTAATGCTCGATTGATGAGAGTTATCATCCTATTTGTATGAAATTGATATGCATCATTTGAATTTGTGGAAGGAAGTACATTGAATTTTATCAATTTCCGTCAATTATTTCTATAGTTATGGCTCTTGTTTTACTTTGTGAATCTTGTGAACGTTCGAATGACAAAATCATTCATCCAATCTGTATGAAATTTATATGCATTATTTAAGTTAGTAAAACGAAAAAGCCTGTCAAATTTCAAAATTTTCTGTAAATTACTTCCAGAGTTAAGACCCTTGTTTCAGTTTGTAGAACCTTGTGAACCCACAAACGACAAAAATTATTAATGTAATCTGTATGAAATTGTCTTGTAAATGCCCCCAATTACCTACAAAAGGATAAATATGTGCCAATCCTTGTTGACCCCTCGGACGATTTAGCTGCTGTGGGCGTATGTTTTGTTGCCTGGCAACCTATCTTACATATTCATGGTTCCTGTCACATATCATGGGTTATATAAAGAATCTCAACAAGGAAAAATAATTATTAAAATTGGTCAAAAACTCGCGAAGATATCATCCTAAATATAGCGAGAAATATTTCACCCGAGCGAGAAAAAAAATCTGACAAATATAGGGAAATAACTGAGGCTTTGTTGCTGTAATTGGATTGACTTCCCGTTCCAGAAATTTCAGAAAAATGGATCAAGCCGTTAAGAAATCGGGCGGATCAGAAAATGAAATGAAAAAGGTGGAAAAGAACTAAAAAATGGCAGTAAAATATATCGGAAAATTGTAAACTACTTTGTCGGCACGTAAAAGGTCAAAAGTGAAATAAGAAATTTTTTGAATTTTTCAAATACCACAAATTCGACCCTGATCCCAGTTATCCAGAAATGTATTCATTTCGGAAATCGGGGACCAAGTTATTAAACTACGGCCTATTGTGTTTATTTTCATGTCCGTTAAAGTGGATTTTTGGTACCTTTGGTTCTAATTGGGTTAGAGCGATGAAACTCTTGAGTATAGATTCATTATATCAAGGGAGGACCTTGTAGCGAAATTGTGTTTCTTGGCAGGCTAGAAATCTCGGCTGCAGGCATAATTGAGCATGTTTGGTTTTTGTGCGCCCACAATTGCTTGTGGTCGCCCTAGATTTTTATGGTTATGAAACAAAGAAACCTATTGATTCAGTGATTTTTCGATAATTAATTGCAGAGCTATAGCCCTTAATTACTTTGAAAATCTTGTGGACGCTCTAGAGGCTAAAGTTAAATATACATTATGGGAGATTCGATAACGAGTTGGCAGTTCTCACTATATTAGTTAAAGACTAGATAATGTAAAGGCAATTTGCTGAAAATTTCATTCAAATTGATGCACTATGAACCGAGAACTAAGTGATTGAAGTTTCCGCCTAGCCTCTATCATCATTATCCATTTTATCGTTAAATCGTGAAGGAAAGTTATGTTGTAAATCGTCTTATAATCCACTAAAAATTGCAGGCTAGCGATGCCATCTAGAGTTGATTATGGTCTGGATAGGTTATTTAATGTCTAATTAATAATTTAGATAAAGAAAGACCTGCAATTGACAGATTTAGCTCTTGCATAATGTATGTTTAATATCCGATTGACTGTAAATTTATACATAGTATTTATGGTCATGAAACACAAAGCTTATTGATTTTGAGAAATTATGATAATTACTTCCAGAGTTTTGGCCCTTGATCACTTGGCAAAATCTTTAGTTATCATCTGATTGCCAGAGTTATATTGCCCTTGATAATTTTGAATAATCTTGTGTAGATGCTCTAGATTGTAAATTTTTTTTTCAATATTTTAACACACCATGTATAATAATGTTCATGAATGGAAGTCTAGAATTACTTTTGGAATTATTACTGTGTGTATGTGATTAAACCTATTAATTTTTAACAATTTCCAATAACATCTAAATTTATTATCATCACCAGTAGAAGTACATCTTTTGCATAATAAATGTTAGCATCTGGAAGAACAAGAAACCAATTGAATTTGAATTAATTATGATTAATTTTGAGTGTCTTTTCAATAATTACATTACCTACAAAACACTAAATATATGACAGCCCTTGTGGACTGCTCAGATGTCTATACCTGCTGTGGGAGTATGTTTCATTGCCTGGCAACCAGTGATGGGATTTCAAAATTTTAGTTGTCGGACATTTTCTTCCCGAAAATAAAGGGACATAACTCTTATCGTTATTTAAGCAGGCGTTTTCAAGCCACAATTAAGAATCACGTGTCAACAAAATATTCAAAAAAAAAAATACGTGCACCTCGTTATTTTTCATATTTAATTCCTGTACGGTATTCAAATTTATGTCAATAATATTCCTACAAAATTACATGACATCATAATACCATAGAATGAAAGCGTGCCAACTACTGTCCATCCATACCGGTTTCAAATTCCCCCAAAATTACCGTATTTTTCGGGTCAAAAGTCGATATATTTTTCAGCAAAGTCCGGCACTAGTCTTATACTCCGTTTCGATTTATATGCGGAAGGTAAAAAAATGAAAGACATCCCGAAATTTATTTGGCCGTAAACCGTAGTAAACGTCGTTCTAATACAACGAGTGAGTGACACCAACTGCTAAATAATCCCATTATTTAAAAACATAAACCCCATTCAAAATATGATCATAAATCCGACAATATGCCATCAAAATAGAATCTTTTCTCCCAACATCAGACGTATTAGATCCGGCACGTTTACACCTCTTAATTCCACGTGTCTCGCGAGATTTCTACTTTCATTTTGTGCGTGTGTGAAATAGCTTTATTTAACTTCGGCTTCCACTGAAGAAATATCACAGACAAGTTATCGGACACAATGTATATTGATTTGGGGTGTTATATACTATTAGTATACGTGACATATTACTAATGTCTACGGTCGACATCAAGGAGATTAAAACGTGAGACAATGGAGAAATCACGGGTTAATCTGACTTCTGTTCAGGATTGAATTGATGAATTGTCCGACAAAGAATTAAGTCAGCCAATCAAGGCAGATTTAGTAGTTAATCAAAGTAGGTGTATATACGGTATTAAACGATAAATATGTTGATCACTTAATTACCTAATCAATCCAGCCTGTTATTAACGATAATCGGGCTGAGTGGTAGTTATACTCAGTACACTAAATTAATTTTGGAATTTTGAATATTACTTACCATGTCTTGATGTCCGATTGGGAATATTCCTGGTCGGACAATTAAGGACTTTTGGAAAATAGCGTCGGACATGTCCGGAATATACGGGCAAAATCCCATCACTGCTGGCAACCTATCTGTCAGAAGGGAGGCCATTATGAACCTGAATGAATTAAGCCTACAAAAACTTCTAAAAATTTTACAGGCATAGTTTGAGCCAGAAAAGTCCACGATTGAATAGCCGGTCGGATGCAAAATCTATAAATGAAAATGGAAGTTTAGCAGAAGAAATTGAGGAGGATATTGAATATTTTTCTAATGAAGGTGAAGATCTTAAAAGTGGGGTATGTACATTGGTCTGTATTCAATCACATTTTGAGTGGAATTAAATGTACTACTGTCTGAGCAATAAACAATTCTAAAACCCTTATCACTAAACTTTGTGTTACCCGGGGATGTGCCTACTATTACAATTACCGGACGGCACTGGCCAGCACCAATGTTGTCCGCCCGACAAAAATATCTTAAAGCAGATTTCCGCCCACCTCCATTTTCTTGTAAATAAAGATAATCTAAATTGGTAAAAGTTTTTTTATTTGTTGCTTTTAACCTCATAAACTGAATAAATTATTTTGACTCGCGTCAAACTGACCTGGTATCATAGACATCTAAATATAAGTTACGTTTTTGACGAAATATATTACTTTCGATTTCTTATTTTATGCGCAGACTCTTTTAACTGGTCACATCAGTGCGATGTAACTAGCATGGCTGATTAAACTAGCCTACTGCACCGTTAAAAAAATTAGCACTAGCAGACGACTATTATTGCTATTTTAACTATTTTTATCATGTCCCTTTTGAACAATTTTCGCCGGGAATCTAAGGGTAATCCCCAAGAATTTATAAATATCGTAATATGAATCCGTTTTATTTCTTCGAAATCAGGAGGCCTAAATTTCTTGCAATAATTTCCTGAAGTATTGCCCCTAATTGTACGAAAAATCGCGTTTTTAGTTTGTGGACCCTATAGCGGTCATAATTTTTATACGTCCACATGAAATTGTCGTCGCCCCTGTCCGTCCGTCCGTCCACAATTTGTTTGTGGACACTCTACAGGTCACAATTCTTATCCTATTTTGACGAAACTTGAAATACAAATTTATCTCCAAAAGATCTTGGTTGCTTTCGATATTGGCATATATCGGATTGAAACTTTATGGGTTATGGCCCCTATTTGTATGAAAAATCACGTTTTTAGCTTGTGGACCCTATAGAGGTCACAATTTTTATCCAATTTTGTTGAAACTTGAAATGTAAGTTTATAACCCAAAGATCTCGGTTCCTTTTAATATTTGCGCATATCGGACCGTAACTTCCTGAATTATGGCCCCTGATTGTACGAAAAATCGCGTTTTTAGCTTGTGGACCCTTTAGAGGTCATAATTTTTATCCGATTTAAAAAAAACGTATTATTATATCACCGTTACACCCTAAGGACGACTGAGTACGAATTTCGTGAAAATCGGCCCAAAATTGACAGACAAAATGGCCGCCGTTCGTTCTCAAATAGAGTAAAAATACGGTATATGAAGGTTGTTGACCCTATAGAGGTCACAATTTTTCACCAATTTTGTTGAAACTTGAAATGTATGTTTATAACCCAAAGATCTTGATTCCTTTCGATATTCGCGCATATCGGACTGTAACTTCCTGAATTATGGCCCCTGATTGTACGAAAAATCGCGTTTTTAGCTTGTTCTCTATCCATCTCTCGAAAATGTGGGCGTATCCTGCCTGGCAGCCGCTGGTCTAATTTTGTAAAGCCAACTGGTATATTGTCATCAGTATTACCTACTACATCGTCTTCCATTGATCTGAAATCCATCCACAGTTAGACAACTCTATACCAACACTTAGTAACAATTGCTATTGAAGGTAAGATGCACAATTTACGCATCGTGGCACATTTTCATAAATTTAATAAATGTGAAACGGTGAGTGCGCGTCTTTTTAGTAATCATGCAGAAATATATTTCGGTAGTAGAAAAATTAGTTTTTGCTGGATTTACTCTCTATATTCCCGTGAATATTCATATTGTGCGCTGACCGCTGAGTATTTATAAATGACGACATTAAATTCGCCTTTCCGTATATGATAGATTATGGTTCATATTTTTATTTTATTAAATGCAACTTTATATATATGGTTACACACTACAAAAGACACATGAGAGAAATGTAGATCATAGTGAGCACACACCCTTATCTAAAGACCTGTCTTTAATTATACAAAGACCTGCGTAAAACACACGGTCGAATGATAAATCGCATGGTAAAACAGTTTTACTTCCAAAATTTTGATTTAACACGTACGTGTCTGATAAAGCCTGTTGCTTCTTGATTATACTCCTTTTGGTGCAGTTATTGCAATTAGCGAGAAAACACGCCAATTAAACAATACACGCCATTGACATTCATTTTTTTACCGGTCTTTTAATTAACACACCTCTACAAAAAACGCACCGTCGCACAGTTTTTCACCCCTAGTGTTAATTAACTCACCTCTCAGACAGTTTTTCACCCTTGTTAATTAACGCACCTTATTTACAATTTTAACGCGGTAATAACGAGTAATAGTCAGGAAATTAATTTTCTTTCGATAGACGTACAGATAACGCCCAAGACATAATTTTCTATAAGGGTTGTGCACAGATTTACCTCTTAGTAGTTCTCAGTGCTGGCTTACGCATATCATTACATATGTTTTGTTAAACCTATTTCCTCAATGAAATCCCAGATAAGCTGAGAGGTCCAGTATCTATCATCTGGCGGTGGAGAAAGGAGAGAGTTGAGACAATGTGTCCTTCCCTTCCCTATCAGTTTGTCAATCATTTAGTTGATTGCAGTCGATTAGTAGGTGTAAAGTGGTTGCAATGGGTCAACACGGGGATTTGATGGGTGTAGGCTTTGACTACATCTATTGTTTTGAGCCTTCTGATGAGTTTGCTTATTTTGATTTAGGGATATTTAATGTAAACCTTGTCTACAAGATTGCTATCTATTTGATAGCGATGGGTGTTTTCTTATTTTAGACTGGATATCCATGCATTTTTAATCTTCTCTTTTGCTATGCTTGCAAATTCCTGACTGCTATATTCTAAATTGTATATTTCATTTAGTGACAAACCCTCCTTCGCTAGCGTGTCGGCCTGTTTGTTGCCAAAGATGTTGACGTGGGAAGGGATCCATGCAAGGATCACCTCCCTCCCACTGGTTTTAATTTTATGAATGTGGTCCCTGACTTGGTGGGTTAGGATCTATAGATTTGATGCTAGAGTCAGACAGGATTACAGCTTTTTGGTGCGTTTGCATAGCTAGCCATTCCAGTGCAGTTTTAATGGCCATCAGTTCTGTGGTGTACACAGAACAGTGTTCTGGTAGCCTTTTCCTGATGTTCAGCTTTACTTTGGGTATGTATATGCCGTATCGTATTGCTCCCTTTGTAGAATCTTTTGAACCATCTGTAGGGTGCCCAGTGGCCGAAACTTTTCCCTACTAAAAGTTGTACTCGATACGTTGAATGTGCACGCTTCAGTGGCGTAACTCTAATTGATTTATTTAATATGAATTAATAATTTTAACTTTTGGTTTAAATTCACATATTAATAAAATTCATACGGTCATGTAGATATCATAAAATTGTTTCTAACTTGTTCGGTTGCCGAGATATAGACGGTTTTCTAAAAGTCACTTTTGAAGGTTTTGGGTCCATTAAAGTGTGAATTATTTTTCGATTTTCATAAAATTTTCATCATGTGATACCTAATGTCAAAGACGATGTTAAAAAACTAATTTAACATTTCTAGTATCACCGGAAGTAATGTCATTTTGGCAAAAACTGTATTTTTAGCCTTCAAAACAGATATTTTATTCAAATGGGTCTGATTTGTAACGTTTTATATGATTCCAATCAACAAATAGAATGAACCCATACGATCATACAGATACCACAAAATGGTTACAGAGAAATAGACGATTTTCCACAAGTCACTTTTCAAGGTTTTTGGTCTATAAAAGTGGCAATTATTATTCGATTTAAATAAAATTTTCACCATGTAATGCCTTATGCAATTTCTGATTTCATAAAACTAATTGAACATTTTCATTATCACCGGAAGTACTGTACACTTACATGTAACAAATTTATAAAATGAATTGATATTGCTGGATTTGGTTGATTCTGCGTCCATTTTATTTGATGTGTACAATGCTTATGTGGAAACATGGTTAATGGTTTCATTGGTACCAGAAGTGCCATATGTTTAAGGGTAACGTGGCATTGGTGAAACCCGTCATTACTGCATCGCAGTTCTAGTTGTATTTTTCAAGTTATACTTGTTTAAGATGTCATTTGCCCAAATGTCACGGGCCTGGTGATTTTCCTAAAACCTATTCGTTGAAATTTTCTGAGGCAGTTGTATGTTGGGTATCTTTGTTTTAGAGTTTGCAGTTTACCAATATTTGAGTGAGAGTTCCTCAGGCCTGAGATCAAGTGGAAGCTCTCCCATTTCGTGTAAAAGGGCAACTGTTTTTGTTCCTATGGCTGCTCTAGTTGCCAGTCTTATGGCTTTGTTTTATATTTTGTCTAGCCTACTTAGTTGACTATCGCCCGCGTTGGCATACGCCAGATATCCGTTGTCGATAACCGAGCGGATGAGTGATCTGTATATAAGCATTAGAGTACTTCTGTTGGCGTCCCCAGTGAGGCCCTCTTATGTATTTCATCATGTTGAGCGTTTTGGATGTGCAACTTATTATGCCATCGATATGCGGCTTCCAAGTTAGTCATGAGTCAAACGTCATGCCAAGAAATTTGACCTCTGTTTTGAATTCAATTTTTGTGTCATTTAGGTTTAAATCAATTTTCCTATTGCTGTCGGTCGAATGGAACAGCATTGCTACTGTCTTTCCCTCTGATATTTTGAAGCCCCAGTCATTTGCCCACTTTGAAATTTGTTCTAGAGTATATTGAAGTGATTGTTTAATTTTAACTATGCCCTTAGATGCTTTCCAGAACGAGCTGTTGTCTGCGAATAGCGCCAATTCTGTGTCCTTCCCTCCATAGCTTTTGGGAGATCATTTATCATGATGTTAAATAGTATTGGACTGATAACGGACCCTTGCAGCGTTCCGTTTTCCATTTTGAACTTTTCACTCATGCAATTTCCTACTTGAACCCTGATATGCCTATTTTTCAGAAAATTCTCTATCCACCTATACATTCGGCCTTTGACTTTTGCGTTGTGGAGTCATAGGTGTACGAGCTGGGGGGTTGGGGCTG